AGCGGCCATCTGTATTTGAGTTACAAGCGGCCCCATTCAGGGATTTCAACCACCAAAGACCCTCTGCCCAGACTTCACCCTCTGGCTCCCCAGTCTAGCCAGGAGCCAGCTTAGAACACCCTACTTATTCTCTCTGTCTTTTTCCATCTCTCTATTTTAATTTTCTTTTAACTTTTTGACTTAGCTCTCTGCTGTTCTTACCTTTCCCCCACTCCCATATGATAGGCCAATCAGCAGCCATCTATATTTGAGTTACAAGCAGCCCATGCATTTTTCAATAAAAAAAACTTTTTTCTTCTCTTTTTCCTATTGTTTTTCTCCCTCTTCTTTGTTTTTTTCTATGCCTTTTCCTTTTCATTTTACCTTTCTCATTTTTCTGCTCAGCCTCCATATACTGATTTTCTAGATAGGTCTAGGTGCTCAGTAGCCAAATGCCTGAATACTTCTAGGGTCAGATTAATTCTCAATTTTCATTCAATCAACTGTGTAAAGGGAGAAAAATGGTAGTGTTTACAGACTGCAGGTCACCTCCTTGTGCATTACTCTGATTGTTCAGATTTAACTTCAAAAATAGGAAAAGCATATAATCCATCAGATGGCCCAAACCACTGCAGAGACACAAGAAATACGAGAAATGAAGAAAATATCTCCCCTCTAATAGATAAGAATAACTCCTCTTCCTCCATAAAGAATATAAGGGAACTCATGGAAATGTCAGATAAACAATTTAAAATATTCATAGTGACAAAGTTAGCAGAGATACAAGAGAAGAGAGATAACGAACTACAGAAGATGCAAGAGAAAAGAGACACCTAGTTCCAGAAGGTAAGGAAGTTCTTGCATGATCTCAAAGAGGAGATACACATCATAAAAAATCAAATGGAATTGTTAGAGATGAAGGCTGTAATACAGGAAATCAAAACTTCCATTGAAAATATCAAAAGCAAATTAGACCACGCAGAAGATCGAATCTCAGATATAGATGATAGAACCTCTGACCTAGAAAAATTCACCAAAAAGACAGAGAAAATAACCCATAAAAATGAGAATAATATACAAGTAATACTAGAAATCATTAAACACCCAAACACTCGGATCATTGGATCATCAATATCCCAGAAGGCGAAGAAACTAATAAGGGCATTGATAATCTGTTTCATGAAATCCTGTAAGAAAATTTTCCAAACCTAAAGAGGCACTCAAATATCCAGACCCAAGAAATACAATGGATCCCACATAGAATCTACCCAAGAAGGTCTTCCCCAAGACACATCATAGCCAGATTGACCAAAACCACAGACAGAGACAAGATACTAAAATGAGAAAGAGAGTGAACCAGCAGTTAGTGTAATGGCTATGTCGCTGGACTCCCACGTAGTCGACCGCAGTTCGCGTCCCGGACCCGGTGGCTTAGAACTCACACTGGGCGCGTGTGCGTGCGTGCCCACGATCCCAAGAGGAGAATGGAGGAGAAGGGATTGTGGTGTGACCATCCCCCCTGGGGGGTGATTTCTCGCTTTCTGTCTCTATGTCTCTCTCTATCTGTCTGGCGAGTGCACGCGCCTTATAGCAAAAAAAAACCTCTCCAAAATAGAAAAAAAAAAGAAAAAAAAATGGGCAAGAGAGAAATGTCAAATTACTTTCAAAGGATATCCCACGAAGCTAATGTCAGACCTCTCATCGGAAACAATGCAAGCAAGGAACGAATAGGAAAATATATTCAAAGTATTAATTGAAAAACAATTTCAACCAAGAATACTATACCCAGCAAGATTATCTTTCATATGAGAAAAAAAGACAAAAACATTCTCAGATAAACAAAACCTTAAACAATTTACCAATACCATACCAGCTCTCCAAAAAGTGCTGAAAGGAGTGCTATACCAGGAAAACTAAAGTCAGGCACAGAAATAAGAGTACAAGAACAACCAAGAGAATGGCCAGCCTAAATAGTAGGGACAAGTCTGGAGTTGAATGTTAACTTTCAGAGTTTAAATAGAAAGATCAGACAAATTCAATAGAAGAAAGATTAATTACGTGAGTCTGAACAAATGAAATAGAATTTTCTTACTTTAGACTAAAACATTACTGATTTTCTTTGATGCTTTGATTTCCATATTTAAAGATTTTGTTTTCTCTTGAAATGTTAATAGGTTCACGTACCTACCGTTTGAACTGAATCCTAATCATTTTCTTGGCTTTACATTTTAGGCAAATTTTTTTTTAACATTTTTTGATTTTTTTTGGTTGGTTGGTTTGGTTTGGTTTTTGAAAACCTTTTGCCAAAAGGCCCAAGGGCCCCCCAAAAAAGAC